AGGGAAATTGCAGAGAAATTAAATGAAACAGGTAAATATATTGGAGTTTCTTTAATGCAAAAATAATTATTATGTAGATACGTATCCATACAAGTATAATAAGATCAATTTATATTTCATTTATTTGCCATGGAACTTTTCCAGCTTCCGTGTTAAAAAACTGTTTAAATATTTCCCTACATTGAAAAGCATCTTCGCCAGCATTGCCTCCTTGATTTGGCAAAGAAAAGAACTGAGACTGCTCTTCTCTACTTCCATCTGACGTACGTATCTATCAGCTGAACCACAATTAAATGATGCACAATCCCGCAACAAATTATGTAAAATACATGTAGTTAAAATAATTTTCTCGACATTTCCTTGATTTTAATGCAATTTTCTAAATTAAAGATGAAACTTTTGGGCTAATATTCTAAAGCTATTTTCCACTATACGGCGAGCGCGGCAGAGACGGTAATTAAAAACACTTTTTTCCATATTGACAATAGTTTGAGGTTCAGGATATGGTCTCATAATATTCCAACGGAAATAAATTTGTATTGCGCGTCAACTAGTGCCAACAACACTATCGAAAAGGTGCGCTTGTAATTAAAAAAATTCGATCCACTATTTGGAGGGGCCACTATTTCCATATGTTTACCGTCTAGCGCCCCTAAACAATTAGGGAAATTCCATAAGTGTCAAAAATCATTGGCGATCGCTTTCCATTTCTCTTTGGTTGGCGTCGGTATGCATTCTTGCAGTAAATTTGATATTATTGCATTGCAAACATCCCTTACAATTTCGTGAATGGTGGAATGGCCGAGGCGATAACTAAAGGCAATAGTTCGTAGTGCGTCTCCTGTTGCTAAATATCTGAAACGAAATAAGAATAATTAATTTATTGGTTGTTTAGGAAAATTCTGAAATGATTTTTAATCTATTTAAATTTACTTTTATTACTCCGACAAATTTACCTCTCATAATAATAATGAAAAGTTTATTATTAGATATCATTTTTTCATTATTTGCAGCTGATAAATGCAAGCAAAGATGGGAGTCACTGAGATCAAAATTTAGAAAAATATGTAAGGCGAATGGAACTACGACTGGTCAAGCCGCCAAGAAGAAGAAAAAGTGGAGGTACGAGGATGAAATGACGTTTTTGTTGCCGCACATGAGGGATGAGGCCCGGGTATCGTCACTACAAATACACGATGGAACAGATGAGGAGAATATTGACGGTAACGATGAAGAGTAGGCTGAGGCTGAGGCTGAAACAAATGATGTTCCTGCAGCGCCCAGAGAAGTCGTTCAAAAAAACATTAAAAAGAAAAGAATATCCAGAAAAAATCCTTCAAACACAGAATCTGCGAGTTCAACACTCATGAATTTATTTTTTGACAGTATTAAGGCCACTGTACGCTCCTTTACACCAGCGGATTTCCATACAGTAAAAACTACCATTTTTAATGTAGTATCAGAAATCGAACGAAAATATTTGTTTCCGGCCTCAACTCAATATCATCATTTTGAAACATATTCAGCATCGGACTATAATAGTTCTCTTCCTCTTCGAAATTTTCAGTCTACTACAACAGGTTTCAATAGTAATTATGTAAATCAAAGCCGTCCTCAATCAAATTCCTCATGTACGCAAACATCTGTACCTACACCCCTATCCTCCGCATCCTCTTACTACGAACATTTTTCACCTAATTCACCTCTTTAGGTAAAACCAAGTTTTTAATTATGTTATGTTTTGTTAAGTTCATAATGTAGTTCGTTTTGTGTAATAATGATGTATTAATAAAATTATTACTACCTAAACAGAATTTTTTTTAGAAGATTCAAATGACTCAAAATTAAAATCAACATAATAATATGATTAAATATAATCATGCATGTACTGCATGAGTTTATTTTGTAAAAATAATTTTGTGTTTTGACTTACCTTAAGCAAACAGCTAATTTCTCTATTGGTGAAATGGACTCACGAAATGTACTATTTTTTTTCGCTATATCGCTATTTAAAATATATTGAAAAGTATATTTGGTCATACGAAAATATTGAAAAAATTTAGTTTCATCATCTGCAAGACCTCTATACAAAGTAAAAAATTCTCCTTCCGTTTTTCGCTTTTTTAAAATTTCGTGTACCCATATTGCCCTGCGTTTTTTGTTTTCGTTTCGGTTTTCCTCCTCTTCATCATCCAAACATACAGCAATAATAGCTAAATCAGCATTTGAGATCTTTTTTAACATTTTTGATATTAACTAATAAAAAATGTTCTGACCAGACTGGATGTTGATCGTTCAATGTGAATAATATACATATTCTTGATTGTGACCGAACGGTGAGCGAACCGAGACCTGAGCGCCTAATATGAATCGACCTTTAAGAGTGCAATTACATGACATTTTAAAAATTTACAGTGTAATATGTTACAGAAAATAAAGTACCTGAAATGACTTCTGAATTCTTCATCTGAATAACGATAAAATACATTCTCATAATACGTGGTCTAAGCTTTCGGTTATCACGATTATACTTTTGTAAAGATGCCTTCCACTCTCCATCTAAACTAGATTAACTAGTTTCTGGGCACTATTGCGACGCATCTACAAATTCCAAATTGCCGTATCAGACATTTTGATTACATTCAAACTCAATTTGTTTCATAATTTATACTTCTTTTTTAATTTGCAATTATTGAAACTTATTATTGAGGTTTACGTAACCTCATTATAACTTCTACTACATTTTTTCAACTTTGTCAGTTGTAATTTTTACATGAACGCTCAAAATGTTCCACAATCCATTCCACTTGAGTTTACGACAGTACCTCTCGCAAGCAAGGGAAACGGGAAGAGCGTGATACTTGTGAGCGTGATCCAGGATGGACGTGATCCAGGAACACAAGTATCAGTGATACTTGTGAGCGCTTAGTGGAACGCACGATCTATGGACTACACCAACTACCTCAGAGTAACAAATATTACTCTGAGCCAACTACTAACAGTGCGTTCCACTAAGCACTCACAACGACCACGCTCACGACCACGGTTTTTGCCGTTCCACTTGGTTCTGGGCGTCACAATCATTAACTCAAGTGGAATGGATTTTGGAGCGTTTTGAGCGTTAATTTAAATACACATGGCGCGTTTAAAAAAACAAAACAGAAAGTTGATGAGGTTATGTTACAATTTGTAAGTGGTATCAATAAGTTCTATTAATTGTTGGTTAACATGATTTATTGAACAAAAATTATGTATATACTTTAATTTTAGAGGAGTATTTAACTAAATTCATGTTCGTATATAATAAAAATGCCTTTTACGGTGGCAGTTGGAAATTTGTTGGTGCGTCGAAATAATGCTCCACAAAGTACTAATTTGTCCAGCTCAGATGAAGAATGGAATACAATTTTACAAAAATATAATCGTGAAAAACGAAAACTTAGACCACGTATTATTGATTACGATAATGTAATTACTCGATCTTGAGATGGGTCGTCATGAGATAGGCGTGAGCATAAGTAATGACGTCATTAATGACGTTTTCGCCGCGACCACAACGATCGCGGTCGCCATGTGGAACGCCTGAATGAGTATTTTAGGCGTTGTGAACGCTTAGTGGAACGCACTATAACTACTACCACATTGTTTACTATTCTTTGCTATGTGCTACTACTACGGACAGTTCATTTTCCACACCCTTAAGGTTTGTTCTGGTTCTACGAAATTCAGGTTCTAGGACGTCAGGATCATGCGAAGTTGATATAGAGCCTTCTGGTTTATTAAGGATAATTTCGGATTGATGAATCCTCTGTTATGATTTCGACTGCGAAATGATCCTAAACTGTCTTGAACCCTCCCGAATCGTTCTTGCTGAACTGTTCCCGTTGCTCATGCGCATTCATGTGGAAATTTGTTTGGTCTATTTTCTAGGATGTTTTATTATTTATTTGATTTAAATAATTGATGATTGAGGTTAGATAACATTTGAACTGGTTACAAGGATACACTACATAACAAAATGGACATGATCAACAGTATTTCAGATAGAACCAGAAACCAGAACAATTTATTTTGAGTAGTGGGCGACTAGAAGATCGTGAGAGTTGGGAACCCTGACAAGCGATTGCAAATCATGAAAAAGAGGAGTTTTTTTTCTGCACATTCTAAAAAATTTCTAACATTTCTTGTTAATTAGTTTTATACTTTATGATTCCAAAAATTCATTAAGTTTTGATTTGGTGAAGTGAACCTACCTACATTAAATAAAAATGGATCCGGTGACGAAATCACTTTTAACCAATAAAATCGGTAATTTCACTCTGGGGAAAACAAACTGGTTAGAGTTTGAGGCTCGTATGGAAGATTGTTTTGAAGAAAAGAATGTTATAACCCCCCACTTCAAAAAAGAAGTAATTCTGGATGTCATTGGAGGAAAAACCATGAGAATTCTTAAAGGCATCATCAAACCACTGGATATTCAAGATGTGGAGGTTGATTATGACATGATCACTAAAACACTAGAAACATATTTCTATCCAAATCCAAACAGGTCCTTTTATATAACAAAATTTTTCTTGCGAAAACAAAAGAGGGGGGAAACATTTTTTCAATTTGTCTTGAACTTACGTAAGCTGATGCTCAAATGTAGTTTCGGAAAGGGTCAACATATAAAACTCAGAAAGCAGATATTGCAAGGAGTTGTTCCAAGACTCAAAGAAAAATTCACCAATAGTTCTTCTATACCTTTATCTGAGATATTTGAAATAGGGCTTTTATGGGATAAAAAACAAGCTGGTATAGTTGACCGGCATCCAAGGAACCATAAAGCAAGAAAGAATAAAACTCCCACCTGTTTTAGATGCAGCATGAGTATAAGCAAAGAACATAGTGGTGAACCCTGTCCATTCGAATGGTCAACTTGTTACGGATGTGGTGTTAGAGGACACCTCTCTATTGCCTGTAAATATAAGGAATTCATTTGTCACAATTGTAAAAAACAAGGACATGTTGCTAAGTTGTGCAAAGAAAAGAAAACTAATAACAAAAGTGAAATTACTTCTACAACTTAATATTCCATTCTTCATTGTTATGAATGTGATAGATAATGACAAATGTACCATTTTCAATGAGCAGTTATAATTTTGATATTTGTGAATAAGCAGTTTGTTATGTATATCTTTGAGAAATATAATAGAATTTTAGGTTTTATGTATTCATACTTCTGATTCGGAAAACTTTTATGAGAAATGAGTTATCCTTTAGAAATGAAAAATACTTAGTTGTCTTCAGGCACAGTATACTATAGTTCAGGGATGCGGACATGCATGAATTTTGCAGAAACACATTTTTCTTTGAACATTACCTTGACTATAATTGTTACTATTGAAATAAATTCAAGTTGCATCCCAATTTATTAATAACGGAATTTTTAATGACTAAAAAGTTTATTCTGGACTAGCAACATAGTTTCAACAGCCCTCACGAAAGTGATTGTCTCTGGCTATGAAAAAGTACTTGAAGTATCTTTTCTGTTTGATACTTTTATCATTTTCTGAATGTGTTTTCACTTTGAAAGTAGGAGGTATTTGTAACAAATATCAATTTTGGAATTTTATTAAAACCTCATTTAAGAATTTTACGAATGAATCAGAATAATATGCAGATGTCAACCAATATTGCAAATTTTTCAAAAACTTTGAGATATTCAAAATATTGTTAGAGCACCTCCTGATCATTCTTGGTGACGATATCTTGGAAGTGGTCTTCATTTTATAATTCCTTGTAACTGTTAAATAACTGTGTTGACAACAAAACTTGTCAACATATAGCGGATCAATTGAGCTTTCTAATGTGTCATTTAACCCCCTGCCTCATATGTGTAGAAAAACTATTTGAAAATGATGTTTCTGTCTGTCTATAAACAAAAAAGTAAGATGGTGTTATTTTGATGTTTCATTTGATAGGTAGATTTGGAACTTCTGGTATAAAATGTATCTAAAGAAAACACTGTTTCCATATCAGAATAGAAACAGGAAAACGTGCGTCAAGAGACGATGTTTTTTGTTTCGGTGTGGGGAAACATGTTTTCTTTATATCGATGATTGATTATATTAATTTCTACTCCTGATAGATTTGAATAATCATGGTATCAATAATACTGTTTCGGTTTGAAAGAAGGAGATATTTGTATAAATAACAAATATTAATTTTGGCAATTTATTCAAACCGCATTTGAGAATTAGTGTTCCAGTCTTGCCTTCACTGAGGGACAATATTTATAAGTTGTTTTTTCAGAAACGTACATTGGGAAATAAAAAATTAAAAAAGTGAAATACAGGTTTCCTAACTATGGTACGAAACTTCACTGGGTGATTCTTTAGGTCGTTTTAAGAAACAAAGTTGTTATGAACATATGTCCGGAGTTGCTTCGTTTCTGAGATACAGGGCGTTGAAGTTTAAAAAAAACGGTATTTATAAAATATTATAATCCTTACACCAATTTGTTTGAAATTTTATACAGTTTTTTGAAGTAGTAAGGCGCCGAACTGGATTGAAATTATTAGATCCAATGGCGTGTCAATGGGCACCACAGTCAACAATATTGGGAAAAAAAACAACGCCACTGATTTTTTTTATGTAATTTTGAGTTATTTTAGATTAAAGCAACTAAAAATACAACTTTTTTGTCTCTTGTGTCTTCATATCAAGCTTCGTTTTCGAGGAAAAAAAATCACTTTTAAAAACTATCCACATAACAACATACACATAAAATAAAAACCAAAAGTAAATAATAAACAATTTCGACCTTAAAATAAATGAGCAAAATGTCTACCTTCTGATAAAATAAACGACTGCAATTGATTTGTCATTGATTGTCATGACACGTTCAAAAATATCTGGAGTATTCCTTATGACATTTTAATTGTCAATTATCCGATTCCTGAAGTCATTCACATCTAGTGCAGGAGTTTTATAATCAAGAGCCTTTAAATAGAAATCTAGAGGATTAATATCAGGATTGCGAACTGGCCAATTTTGAGGTCCTTCACGTCCAGTCCAGCGATTAGGGTAGGTGATGTTGAGATGCTGACGAGCAAAAACACTAAATCTTGCTGGTAGAAAGAATGGGCCAATTAGGTAGTCACCAATCATTCCTACCTAAACGTTAAGCAAAAATTGTTGCTGAAAATGACTTTCTCTAATAACGTGGGAATTTCCGTCTGCCCAAATATGGTTATTGTGAAAGTTCATAATAGCATCATGTGAAAAATTTGCTTCGTCTGTAAATAAAATATTTGGTAAAAAATTATTATTGTGTGCCATCCTATGAATCAACCACCTGCAAAACAATAATCATAGGTGAAAGTCCCGAGGCAGTAGAGCTTGGACCTGTTTGTATGTGATTAGGTATAGTAGATTTCTTTTAACAATTGTCCATACGGTTTGTCGGCTGAATTGCAGCTGCAGTACAATGCAGTGATTTAGTAATAGGTTTCTTTTTAGATCTGTCATACGGTTTTTGGTCTGACTTCCAGTTGCAGTGGAACCTTCCTGATACTATTTGAAGAATCTTCTTTTATCGCATCAACTATAGCTTCAGACGTAGTCATAGTTTCTGGTCATCTACATTCTTCATTTTTATTAAAACTCCCAGTTTCGCATAATCTTGGATGTATCATTCTAAATGTTTCAGCACATGGAATTACTCTGTCCTGGTAAATTCTTCGTGCTTTTCGCATTTCCATTTGCTAATCCATAAATATAAAGCGCATGTCAGCAATTTTAGCGTTAGTAAAATTATTCATGATAGAATCACTGCTGACAACTCTGACTTTCACGGATACGACAAAAACTATCACATTCAGCTGGTCTCCAAAGCAGGTGTTCATGATATGCAAAGTGGCTTCAATTTTTATTCTCGAAAACGAAGGTAGAAATGAAGAAATCCCAAGTGACGAAAAAGTTGTATTTTCCGCTGATAAATCTAAAAAAATTAACTGCAACAAGTCAGTGGCGTACTTTTTTTCCAATATTGTTGGCTGTGGTGCCCACTGAGACTCCACTGGACCTAATAATTTCAATTTAGTTAGGGCTGAATCGGTGTAAGGATATTTATATTTTACAAATATTTTTTTTTTAAACTTCAACGCCTCGCCTCTCAGAAACGAAGCAACTCCGGACATTTGTTCACTAGAACTTTTGTTCTTAAATCAACCTAACGATTACCCTCTGAAGTTTCGTACCGTAGTTAGGAAACACCTGTATATTTTAGGTGCTCACTGATTAAATTGAAAGGTGAATATTTTTTGAGTAGAAAGTGATACAGCTTACTACTTGGTTGAATAATTGTTTAAACTGATTATTCCATATAAAGATGTTTGAAATGTTCCTGCACATAAAAGATGAGTCATTTGTCGACAATTTTTGGATGCAAATCTTGTGAAGACCCTTATTGTGTCCTATAGATCTTGGTTTTCAGGTATCTACACAAAAAAATCAATGAGCAAGAAATCTGGTGAACGAGGACTAAATTCAGTATAGACTTTTCTCCTAATTCAGTATCGTGAAATGAGGATCTGATAATAAAGGTCATTTGTTGTTTCAGCAGGATGGTGTTTCTCAGCTTCATACCTTGACCAATCATCATTTAGAACATTTTACAAGCCACTACTACTATTTCTATATAGAAGATTGAATACCTTTTGGGGCCTTTTTTCGTGTCTGTCATACAGTAGCCATTTTGATTTATCTACTTAGAATTCGATTGGGAAAACATTTAATACTCTGACACGTATTTGACAGAAGTACTATTGGGTCAAATATCGCAATGACGTGGAAGAGTTCAAACGATGCCACTTATGTATCTTGAAGAAAGGACCTGTATCGGGAAAACCAAGAAAGGAGGAGTAAGTCCACGAGAAATCATCAGAGAAGGATACTTTTTATTTGAAATTATAAGAAGATTGCGGCAATTTTCTCTCGATTCGAAATATGCAGTCTTTATAAATTGAATTACACTTTCATGCTCATCCTGCAACATATTCTTAAAATCTTTGATATATTAATTTATGCTTTCATGCTCATCGTCCAACATATTGTGTTATAGGTATGTGATAATTCTGTTTCTGTGTGTTTTTCCGTTAACCAGCGTTAATCAGATAATTATATAGGAATATTGACTATCGCTTTTTTTGTTTTACAGTGGTAACTTTCTTCGTTACTTATCAAAATATTATTTCAACTGGAACACTTTAAAAGCAATAAAATCTGAGTCTCATTTATTTTAAACTTTATTGTATTTTCTTTACATATTAACAATCTGTGTAAATGTATTGTTTTGTATATTCAGGAATAAATAATTGATGGTGATATACTCAACCTAAAAAAATTATTTATGAAATATTATGTACAATGAATGAGTGAAAATAAATGTTGCTACATATAAATACCTACATATAAGTGAACTTATATCCAGAACTTCCAGGAAGATTGTTTTGGTTCTCAATCTCGAAAGATATCTTTTCTGAATGTGACATTGGTTTCATTATATTCATTTAACTTGTTGAAATTACTAGGTACATACATTTGTAACTTGTGACACATACCTACCTATCATCCATTTCTCTTTTTTTCAACTCTTCCATTTTCAATACAAATGCGCTACAAAATAAACACAGACCGTTTAAATATTGGTTGTAATTAAAAAAAAATGAGTTCATACATATTGATTATTTGCATTTGTTAACTTTCGATTAAATTGCAAAAGTTCTGTACCTACACTGCACTTATTATTGTCACTAATATTGAACCTCCTCGAGCTAAACTGACTTTCGTCAAATCTGAGCTGGCTGAGACTAGGTAAAGTGACAATCAACATTGAAATGATTTTCATAATAACATAATTTATTTAATCAACAAGTGCCTCCAAAATTATGATTAGGGTGTCATTCGATTCATAATTTCATCCAAAGTAATTTAGGATTCGACCTAAGTTCGGCAAACAATTAGTTCAAGAGTTGTGAACAATTCAGTTAAAAAAAGATGGATTTATTTGAAAGTGATTGACAATGTTTCAGGGTGAATTTTATTAGTTCGGACTTTCATTGACTAATATGATTCTACTATAATTTGAAATCTATAAAAGAATAAATAAAATTTGAATTAGGATAGCTAAAATATGAATTATTTCGAGCAAAAAAAAAAGGTGAAATGAATGAAGATTTTAACCAACTCGTTTCACGACGTTTCGATTGTTAGTATCCACATTCGTCTTCGAGTGATGACTGGACTATTTCTTCGAGAGATGACTATTTATAGTAATTCGAACGCTTTTACCTATCCCCTTTCTCCGCTTCACCGGTTTAGCAGGAGTTTTCGCTTGCTGTTTTTTTGCCGAAATCTGGTCCACCATCACATCAGAAAAGATCTTCAACGGAATGGTTACTCCAAAGTGATGATGGAACAGATTTTGGCTAGAAGACAGCAAGAGCCCCATAAGGAAGAGAAGTCGTCACAACCAGTACATCAGAACCTTCTTCATATACGGAAACACCATACGGAAACACCTCACGAAAACCCGGCCACCAAATGCGGACTGCGATTCCTAGAATTTCATTAACCGGATACCCTGTGAGTCCGCATTGCCGAGTACAAGAGAAACACACGGCAGAGAAACCAACAAATCGGAAATAGCGGAGCATGTTTGGACTTTAGAAAAGATCGTCGCTGTTTTGTTTTCTTGTTGACCAAAACTACTTGATTACAATTTTTTTGAATTTTTCATTTTATTTGTTAAAAAACTCTTATGAAAAATATATTGTTTATGGAATAATTGAATTTTCTCGATGGAGGATCTTTTCTACAGCCTTCAAAGAATCTCTCTAAAAAGGGTGAAAATCCAGGCATAAATTTCAAAATTTATTGAGGTTTTTAAGTAAATCTTTAACTCGAAAAAACTTATTAATTACCAAAAACATAATTGAAAGGAAAATTGCCATACATTTTTCCCGGCGGATTGTTGTTTATCCAACTTTACAGCAAGTAATCAAATTTTTGTATCCGTCAATATTCAAATTGAATGAGCTGAAACAATTTTTTGTTGAAGCGCCAGCATCGGGGGGCACGTGTCAGAGCCGAAGCACTCGTTTCATCCTATTTTCACCGCATTGTCAAAATTATAAATATTAGGGCTTCAGTTCCGAGAGATTTCAAAAACATTTCTTCTTTTTGATAATATTTTCAAAAATTTTGAATATCTTCATTAGTTTTTGCTATAGTATTTATAACTTTTGAAATAGGTATTTATTTTGGAACTGAATAACTTTAGGTGAAATTATTTTGGGTGAAATAATGAATTAAATTATCGTTTTCGGAGAAGGCGACCTCAAAAGTTATGAAATGGAAATTATTGATTAGACTAAAACTGTAGAGTTGAAAAAAAGTATTAACTTCTATATTTTCTGACTAGTATTTTTGTAATGAAAGAAACATTTTTATCTCATCATCATTGCTCAATAATTTTCATTATTGCAAACATTGAAAATAATAAAACTGAAACATATATGCCTCTATACCAAATGGAATATTTTTTTCTACGATGCACTGTTTCTGAAATACAACAATATATCAGGTATTATTCCCGTTTTGTGACTAAAGTAACTCCAGAAACAAAAGTGATCAAAACTTTGTTCCTGATAACAAGTTAGTTAGTTATTCTTCCTCATATGGTTTAAAAATGGCATTGCAATGACCAAATCGTAAGATATACCAAATTGTCTCCTTACGTCTAGATGATTTGAGGGTTTATACTGTATGTTGCGATTCAAAGGTGTGAATATAGGAGAAATGTTGAACAAAAAAATCCCAACACGTATATTATTGTGAATTATAGCCTCCCTTATAGTCTTCAGGAACGTATAGATACAGAGGGGCAAATTCCCAACCAAGGGAAAGTTACAAATCCTTCAGGCTGTTTATTTAATAGGTTTGACTCACATGTATTGTTCATTTGATATGGGGATCACTGATTGTCCCAAGATTCCAGAATCACTAGACCTACATCATTTCAACAATAAATAAAGCAGTATCTAGCTAAGAATGTATTCATGTACAGCCACTGTTATTAATAAACGATGTCATATTGGGTACCTACTCTACAATCTTGAACAAGGATTGATCATTATGTTATATGAAATTCACAACAACACAACCAAAATTTTTGTCCCATTGCTTGTTCCTTATTTGTGAATAGGCGCTATGAAACAGGCCTGCAGCCTGAACCATAACTGATATTTGTTTTCTTTTGAATACATGAAATACCAATCAAATCTAACTTTCGATAATATTGAGAATAATGGAAATGATAAGCTATTTTGAAGTTACCTAAATTAATCTAATAATAATATAAATTCCTATTCTTATACCTCAAGGGTAATTGCCATGATGAATTTGAATGATTATCAGTATCAGTTATACTTCATATATTTATTTAAATTATTCCAACTGCGGGAATAATCTATTTTTAAATGTCCGTATTTGCTGAAACTAAAATTCTGTGGTTTGTTGACTCTAAGATGGTTCATGTTTCTTCCGACGTCATCATATATCGGTAAGGATGAATCTTCTCCACTTTGGTTATCTTCCAATTTACTGTAGAGATCGGGCTTGGAAGAGGAACCATACTGGTCGTTACTGTAAAACAAAAATTGAGTGTTTACTGCTCCATAGAACGTATATCAACATTTAAAAAAAAAAAACTAAACTAGATTTAATTGTCAGGCTTGTATGGAACAACAACTGTAGGTGTATGAATAACTTGCTAATATATTTTGTTCACGAAATGACGTATTTGGTAGTTTTTATTTCGATTTTCAGTTGGATCTGAACTAGCCTATTGTAATATTATTAAAAAAAATTAGCACTGCAGTACAACCTCGATCCCTATCTGTAAATTTATTTATATATCGGTAACGACTTGCATTCTCTATGTAGATAGATATAAATTATCAAGATCTTTTTGCCTTATCAAGAGCAAATTCTGTTTCCAATGAGGAGAAACCTCAAAACTGTGGTTCAAAATAGGTCATCTATATAAGTTGCATATATCGACTTCCAAGAGACACACAGTGGAGGACACTGATTTCTCCATCTACAAACATTATACAGTTTTCGCAAATCAATCAGCCCAATAACACAATTTTTATTACAAAGGCTACAATAACCAGCGCTTTCATTCAGATTATAGGTAAACCAACAACGTGTCCTGACCAAGATGGAGAATTTGCTGCTCTTCTATAGCTAACAACCAATCAAGAGCTTTACACACAAAGTAGTTTAGCGCTACACATCTCTTAACAGAGAAAATTTTCAAGTACATTAACCTGACTCGTTATTGCTCTCAACACTGATATAATTAGGAATCCCTAAGAACACTGAGTTAGACTTGAATTCATATGCTTCCTGGAATGCAACAATGACCTCATAACGGCAAACCATGGTTGACCAAAAGATGTTTCAGGGTTGATATTGCAACAAATGCAAAATTAGGAATTGAGGAAAGTGATGCTAATCATTAGGAATAAGTTTCTTGCCACATTCATTGATCAGTGACTAAATCCGTTGGGAAACGTTTCATCACCAATTATAGAATTCCGCCACTAACACAAGCAAATGATAAAAAAGAAAATTAGCTTGCCGAACCATTTGCATCATATGAATCCAAAGCCCAAAAATTAAGAAAATACGAGTTGAACAGATTCATAGCAAATTTCTCGTTTATTTTTGGGGAATAATATAACTGAAAAATATGAGAGCTTTGAATTGTCTCGGATACTTTTTGATGTGAAACATCTGTAGCCGTACGTAAAACCGATTGCTGCCGTGGCGACGCATGCCGTGGCGACGGGTCGCCATGCGCAAGCCACTGTGCGATTCTCTTCCCAATGATTTGGCGTTACGCCACTGAGATCGGATACCTATAGTGTATACAGTTGTGCTTACTACATTAAACATAACCTGTGTTTCACCAAATGAATTATTTTATTAAATAATTAAAAATAAAATATATCTG